CACAAAGTTCTAAATACAATTGCATATTTTATGTTATTTTAAAATCGATATTAGGCGAATCCAAATTTTGTTTTTTAATTCTGTACGCAACTTTCTTAACATAATATGCATTTAAAAAATCTAATAAAAGCTCTAATTTCATTTCATTGTGTGTTATTTCAGAGCAGGCATTGCTATACCTAGTCTTTCTCTGGATGCAATGAACAACATTTTATTACAACAGTACAAAGTTCCCATGGCGCAGTCTGTTACTTGTATTAAAGAAGTATTGAAGGCAGCAATTGCAGAAGTCTCAAAGTCTGTAAGTGTAGTTTTAAGAGAAGTCTATGTTATCTCTACTGTTGTGTGTTTGGGACAATCTAAACAATTTCTAGATTCCAATAATCAATCAGCCGATTAGCTTCGTAACTCAAAAAAATATTTTCTATTAATCTTGATTTGACTGACGAAATAAATATACAGGGTGTTTATAAAGTCCCGGACCCATTTTGATGTTTAATAACTCATAAAATAATAAAGATAGATTAAAATTAATAACATAAATGGTTAGATAGACTCAAAAAGTTTCATGACCCTTGTCAATGAACTTCCACGTGTGCCCCCTTCGTCGCACGGAGAATATCAAGTCGATATTCAATTTCATGCCAGGTAGCGGCAAGCATGTCGGCATCCACAGAGGCTATTGCGGTTGTAATTCTGGCTTTTAGGTCATCAATGTTCGACACGATCCTCCTGTAAACATTGTCCTTTATAAATCCCTAAAGAAAATAGTCCAGCGGCGTTATATCAGGTGATCTTCGTGGCCAAGGAATTGGACCTCCTCGCCCAACCCATCGTCCTGGAAAATGGTTTTATGTTGCAGCAAAATCGGTACTGAGATATCAAATTTTAAAAATGGAATTAGAATTTGGTCTTTAGAATTTAGAATTAGAATTAGAATTAGAATCTTTAGAATTTGGTTTCTCAGGAACTATTCGACCGATTTCGCTTAAATTTTGTACTTTACTAAGTAAAATTACGTTCTTTAAAATGATGCAAAAAACTATATCGTAGAGTTCGTTTTTTTGCCTATTACTTAATTAAAAAATACATAATTATTAAAAGCTGTTTTTTGCATGGAATTATATCTTTGGAATAACTAATTTTATAACAGAGTAAAAATTTCTCAATTCGCTTAAATAATTCTTAAAGTATAGTGAAGTACGCAAAGAGTGACATTAACATTTTTCTACACGTAGGTTAGATTTTAGTTTCTTAAAACTTTTCAAACTGAATAATCAAGTGGCTGTTACGAAAAATTTTAAATTTTAATGTTGATATTTCTAATTTAAATGTTTTGCTGTGCTTTGTATTCATGTGCTGACAGTATAATTGTTTTCTTTATATAACTTTGCACTTTTAGTACTTACTTTATTTAGACTTTTGTAATTTTCAGATAATTTTTGAATATAATATTTTGGTAGTTCTTACAATCTGTTTTCTTCATTTATTTGGTCTAAGCATTTTAATCTATACGTTGAATATGTTTACTAATTGCATATTTAGCTTTTCCTCATTTAATTTTAATAAATACCTTAAATCATTGAGTAATGGACCTAACTAGTTTTGGAGTGCGATATATGAAAATTCCTAATTTTCCATGTGCGCTATAACATTAATTATGCAATTGTAAAATTTTTTCTCAAATTTGTATACTATATTAAGTTTTTGGGCCACTAAGCGAATACCTAGGTGGTTCTATTGGTCATTATCATTACTGGTGTAAACCTTAATTATTACTGTCCTATTATAATATAATTTTTACCTTTTTACATTTTTCAAAACTTTTTATCAAAATTTGTGAAGTCCGCTCATTAATATTTCCCCTATCATCGCCTGTTACCAGAGAATCGACCGTGCAGTGAAATTCTACACGATAACACGATGCTGTTTAGTTTGTTTCGAGATTTTCAAAGCCAAACTAGTTTATATCCAATCCATCTTTTCTCTTGCCATACCCTAAAGAGAGCATTTTTCAAAATTTTAAATACACACTTTAAACATTTTCTCTGGAATCACTCTTAACTTGTTTCGAAAAATTTATTTTTGTTGAAAACAGACTGCTTTGAGGGAAATTTAGTTCCCTTCGCGGGCATTTCACAAAATTATTTGAATGAAAAACGAACCAAATGACTTCATTAATCGGCTATTTGCAATATCTGCAAAAGAGAGCTATTTTTTTTTCAATAGTGTTAAATGAACTTATTTAGATAAATGAAAAAAACAACAAATTATTTATTCTTAATTTAAACTAAAATATTTCTTTTAGTACGAACGCAATGGCAGCAATAATACAAAGCACACATTTTGATGCTACAATAATTTTATAAATATACAAAAACAAGCGCTGTCACAAAAGATTCCTACAGATCTCTGGATTACGTAAATTTGACTCATTAGAAAAATTTATTCCTTTTCACAATTTCGGATAGGATAAATTATACAGCCCTGCTTAAATTAATAACAAATCTCTTTCAGAATCAATAAAATGTTCTTATCATAGGGGTATGAAAAAAAATTACCTTTTTTAAATGTTTCTAATTTCAAGAAACTCTTTTGTAGTTGGACCGATACTCATCGTTGCGAAATGATGTGGTTTACCTAATCGAAGCTGCCATAGAAAAGGAAGCGGATAATTGTAAAGAGATACTTCTGAACCACATAGACTCCAATATGTACCACATTAACTACCACCATCCTGATGCTGACTATACTGTGTAAGTACTACTTTATTTTATTCCAACTTTATACAAAAGAACTTAAATCAGTTAAGCTTGACAAGGATTAAGAAACATAATAATAATATTAAAAACACGACAGATGGTGATAAACAAATTAGATTAGTACTCCCACAGGGTATCACATTACTGTTTTCTTTCTTTTTTTTACCTTAAACAAACAAAAATAGAAAGAAAATTGCATTAAAGAGAATTATAATTACATAAATCATTGTACAGAGCAGCGATCATAGAGCCCTAAATGATTACGCTCGCTTTCTGCGGAAGCCCAACTTAATAAATTAAGCACATAACTTAATAAATGAGACATTATGAACTTACTCCAGCCTTCTTTTGCAACCAGCTTAGTCACTTTTTATAATTATCCTTTTACCTTGTCTTCGGGGTCGAGTTCAAAATTACAAGACTACGGAGTTGAACATTAGTAGTTGTAAATCCAAAATTAGGTCTGCTGTTCAACGGCGGAAATAAAATATATTTATCATTAGAGTGGCTCAGGGGATTGAGCATTCGCTTTCCAATGAGGTGAACCCGGTTCGAACCGCAACTATGGCTAGTCTATAAGAATTCCGCACCCGGCGGCCATCGACCACAGTGCTAACGTAAAATATCCTTAGTGGTAGACGAGTCATGGATTAGAATTCCCTTGTCGTATGGCTAACTGTGGGAGGTTTCCGTGTTCTTCCTCTCAATATAATGCGAGTTAGTTGCATCAAAAAAGGCTTTAACGAAGGCAATTTTCTCCCAATCCAGGAGTTCCATTGTCCTCCGAATTGGGTTCAAAATTACAAAGCTACGGGGTTGAACATTGGTAGTCGTAATCTCAAACTTTGGACGGCTGTTCAACGACGATTATAAAATAAAGTTATCCATTACAACATGTACACTTTAATGGTAACTAAGATGACTTCACAGGACAACTGTATTTAAATATTCTTATTCTTCAACCAATTCTCCAATCCTAACACCTTTATTAGATTTATACAATATAACCGAATTTTCTCACAGTGTGACTGTGTGTGTTCTTAAAACCTTCTTCCCAGAAAAACTGCAAAAAAGTAAATAATTATTAATTTGTAATTTTTCTTATGTGTAATATTGAATTTATTTTAAGTAATAAACTGAACACGAAAATTGTATTTTAAAGTCTTGTGCTATTGGCTTAAATGTGTCAGCATTTCATTTCACAAAGCATTTCACAAAGTTCTAAATACAATTGCATACAACAGCAATTTTTTTCTTTTTCTGTATGTGCGTGTGTGTTTATATCGTCGTAGAAAGTTTAGATAATTTAAAGTGTGTACTACTTTTTCTTGAAGAATTAAAACGAAGTATCATTTCTTAATTTTCCTTTTTAAAAATGTAAATATTGTTAAAATTGAAACTTTTGTTTCGAAATTTGCTGGTTTAGTAACAATGAATAAATCAGCGAAACTATTTATATTTTTAAACTTTTCCAAATTAAATAACTAAAGATTTTTGAAATATTTTAAGGAGGGTTTTTTTCCGCTTCTATTTCCCTCCCTCTCCTCCTGAATAAATTTCTATAGGTTACCTAGACAAAATAAAATTGATAAATGCAAAAAATAGTTTTGAAACTACTCTCCTAATTTTTCTTCTAATAACTCTTGAGGAAAACTATTTTTATTAATGTTGGTTTATGTTTACTAAATACATACATTATAGTATACAAGTATGAAAACATTCCATGCTGATTTGATAACAGACAGAGGAAGTAGGATTTTAAATTAAAAGTTTTTACGGAAATCATTTTTAATTTTCTGAAGAAACATGTCTTATTTTTAATTATTCACTTCTAAATATTTTGCTTATTTATTAGAGATGAAAACAATTTTAAGCCCCTTTCAGTTTTATTTTAATTCTCTAACTTTTTCCTCCGCCACAACTACACAAAAATATTAATTTTTTTGAACTTCAAAATTTCGATTCAATTAAGTAAAAAACAAAAGTACTTGTGTTTCAGATAGAGAAATTAAAGTAGAACGGCACAAAATTGGATCGTTTAGTAAAAAAAATCATTAAAAGGAATAACCTGTACCAATTCTGTCACTTTTGCCTTTTGGTACATTAAAAATTTTATATGGTGTGTTAAATACTAAGCTATTGCAACGTGTTATAATTTGTAGTAATTGCTTGGAGTTATTTTTTTGAGAATTTTTATCACTGTTCTACAAGGTGCGGCACGTGCTATTACCGAATTGGAAAGTAATGGAAGTTGTATAAGGTCCTATATTCTGACGTCATTACCCGAGAGGGAAACTAACTAACTGCGTTTTAGAAGCGTGGCTAATCGAGCAATTTTGAATATTAGTTACAAAATAACTAGTAAATCCACTAAATTGAAATTAGTGCCTGTTGTCATAAAATTGCATGAAATTTTGTTTTAAAAAATATAAAAAATATCGTGCAGGTTCCTGATTGAACGAGTTTTGATGTTTTTAAACCTGCTTCCTTCAATAGTGATTTGTTAGATTCTAATAACGTTTTCATTTTTTTCTTTTTTAACTATTAGCTTTCGTCCCTTAATATCATCATTTTCTAAGAATGTTTAGAGGTAATTAGCTTCTACCTCTTGTTTGAATAGTTATATAATTTTGAATTTATATCTAGGTGTAATAATGCGGCTCCTCCTGCTGGCCCAGTCAAACTTTGGGAGAACTCAACAGCGATTGAAGAAGAAACTGTGGAGAATACAGAAGGTGTTGCAATTGGCTGCACTATGCCTTCCACGGAAACTTTAGTGGTACTAAGTAGTTTGTTATGGTTAAAAGCTAAGTTAAAACTTTTAGCTAAGCTGCATTAAATGAACAGTTAAGATATTTATTGTGTTTTTAAAGAAAAGCTCACCTTTTCAAACAAACATAAGCTCATCTTGTGAGCAGTAGAACAAAACAAAGGCTAAACTAAATCGATTTTAAACTAGAATTCTATAAAAGATTAAAAATAATGCAAACAATATTATAATCTATATAAAAAATGCTAAATAATGGTTCTGTTTAAAATAAGCAAACTATAGTTTTCTGTTGCAGTTTAACTCTTTTTATCCCTTCAACTACGTTAAGAATATTTGCTCATATGTAAATATAATAGGAAATTTCTACACATTTTGCAGAAATTTTTGTAAGTTGTAATCGGGAACTTCAAGGAAAAGGAAATTTCGTTTAGCAATAGAAAATGAACTCTAAAAGATTTTTCATAAGATTTATGAAATCTAATCGTTGGTCTTTGCAATAGTTTGTTAGGATTTGAAAAGGAATCGTCTACCCAGAATCTCTTAAGGTTTTCGACAAAAAACTTTCCTACTCTAGTATTCATCTCTACAGAAAAGCATCTTTTTTTTTTGTGACTAAGAAATATAATTATTGTAAGAGATCTAAATCAGAATGACAGGAGTCTGGTGATAATGGTAGATGGGGTTAAAAATCCTAACAGTTCTTATTTTTGTCAAACTGTCAACGAAACTCTTAGCTCTTACAATTCGTTGTTTCTGGACGTCGTTGTTCAATTGCTGTATTTCATTCGGAAACAATACCTGTAAACAATCTCTAAGAATCTGTACGCATGTCAATCGCTTTCAATCACTCTGACATTTTCGGACTTGCGCAACCATGATTTACCGAAAATGGTCTCACTCTTCGCACCTCAATATAAAATGTTAAAAAGAAATTTTTTTTTAAATATGGATTCTAGAACATCAGTTAAATGCACTTAACAAAAACAGTTGCTGGGAAAATAATCTTGGCGATTACGAATAAAGATCAGTGCTATACTGCGTCCTTTTGGCGATCTTTTTGTTTCTCTGTGAGGAAAAAAATTATTCCATTTACTAAGAAATAAGTTAAGTTTAAAGTTTAAGCGTTTCAAGCATTTCTATAATTGTAATAATAAAACAATAACATTGTGATAAAACATTTCTTTTAAATATAAACATTGACTATTCCGGCAAATAGTTTTCATTTTTCCTTTGAAATAGGCTGCCTTGAAAGCTAATGAAAGTAATCAAAAGAACGTTCACTATGCTTCAGCATTGTTGATGAAGAATCTTGAGCCTGTACAGAAACAAATGGAGGACGTTGCTATGAAATATATAATCTATAATCTAGTGAAAAAGGTAAGCTTAGTATTAGTAAGTTATGTATTAAAAAATTATTAGTAAAATGAAATAATCAAAAATTGTTAATTTTTTTAATACTTTGTTACTCTTGGTCTTCTATATATTTTTAAATAAATGTTTTAGGATATATTCTTTTTCTGTATTATATTTTACTGTATTTTGGTTATTTTATTGTTTTTTAGGTATTGGATTTCATTAAAAAAGATCTATTGACTACACTCTTAGAATCTACTAATTTCGTAAGTATTAATAATTAAAATTTATACGTTTAAAATCCCTTGTTAAAATTTAAAATAAATAAATATATATATACACCGAAGAGCCATTACATTATGACCCCCTCCATCTATAATAATGGGCTCTCCCAGGTTTTCAGGGTTTCTCGCTCAGGAACAATGTTTTCATGGGGCACATTAGGACCCATAATCCTCATAGAACAATCCCTGACGTTTGTAAGCTACTTGAACATAGTTGCAGACCAGGTTCACCCATTCATGGCATCAGCTCTTCCTGCAGAGGATGGTGTTTACCAACAGGATAATGCACCATGTCATAAGGGTTGAATAGATTGGTTCGAGGAACATACCAGTGACTTTCAAGTCATGTCTTGGCTCCCAAATTCACCTGACTTTAATCCAATAGAGCATTTGTCATCCTACTTGGAAAACCAAATTCGTGCTGTCACGCTACCCCCTTGCAATGTGAGGTTTTTGCATGACCAGTTGGTGAGCGCTTGGTACCAGATACCTCCGGCTACCTATCAGCACCTTGTGGAATCAATGCCACGGCGGGGGCTAACAGTCTTGATGGCTAAAGGTGGTCATAATGTAATGGCTCTTCGGTGTATACATATATACTGATTCTGATGCACTATCTTTATCAGTCCCTCCAAATTTTTTACAGGATCTTTTTTTTTCTTTCCCTTACCTAAAAGACTCTAACTCAGTGTTTCCCAACCCGGGTTAGTGCCATCNTTTCCCAACCTTTTTCGTGCCATGCCCCACCTAAGCCTTTCTAAAATTTTTATGCCCCCTATGTAACATATACATAATTTTTAATATTAAAAAAATTGAATTGTTCGTTTAGGAAACTTAAATGATAGGTTTTAGGAAGAAATCACTAGGAACTAGTTAACGAAACACGGTAAATAAATTTTCAAAAAATGTAATGAAAAACTAAAATTTAAATTCAAAATAATTTTAATAAAGATTTTCCTATAATAATTTAATATTTTAATTTAGTGAGATTCTTGCGCTTGATGCTTGTTGCACAGAGATTTTATATTAGGTTACGATTTGGTTAGCNATGTAATGAAAAACTAAAATTTAAATTCAAAATAATTTTAATAAAGATTTTCCTATAATAATTTAATATTTTAATTTAGTGAGATCCTTGCGCTTGATGCTTGTTGCACAGAGATTTTATGCTAGGTTCCGATTTGGTTAGCTTCTGTTTCAAGTCACCCCGTTTTTTTTATATTCAGAAGATTTTTTTTTTACCAGTAAATCATTTACAGCACTAAATCCACATTCAGCTAAATATGAAGATGGAAACGGTAACAATAGTTTTCTTGCACATTTGATTTCTGTTTCCTCACAAACCCATGCCATCACTCCTTTTATAACTGACTCATCATAACTTAACTGACTCATCATTTTGCATTTCTGCGAGTTCTTCTTGATATATCAGACAAATCCACTAGCATTGACTGCATCATCCATGTAGGAAAATCAATTTGTTTTAAGTCAGAAAATTTTTCTTTTAAATCGGCCGATAGAATTTTTAGATGATCGACAATAACAAGTAAAGCGGTATCATTTAATTCACATTTTTGAAGCCAATGAAACTGTTAAAATTTTTTTTTTTGTTAATATATTTCTGACATAACTCAATAAGGGTAATGAAACCCAATATCTTCGCTTTTGCATTAACAAGAGTTTTATTTGTTCCTTGAAGTTGCTTATTTAATCTATTTAGTTATTCAAAGATATCGGCTAAATAACTCATAAATGCTTGACAATCGACTGTTAACAGATACTTCGTTTCAGGTTTGCCACTAAAAAAAAATCACAAAGAGTATCAAGCAGTTTCATAAATCTTTTCAAGAAGTTCCCTTTAGAGAGCCATCTTACTTCAGTGTGAAGTAAGTTTCAAATGGTCTGCATTTTGTTCTTCACAAAATAGCTTGAAGAGAAGCTCACATTTGGCATTAGCTTTAATATCATTGGTGCACTTTATTACTGAATATAGTACTTCATTTAGAACAGGCAAGATGTTTCTAGCTACCAAGTTTTCTTTATGCACAAAAATCATTCCTGGATTCTCATATTTCATCAATTTTAAGCAGCCATTTTTCTTGCCCATCATATTAGGAGCACCATCTGCAGCACAAGATGTTATATTTTTCATTGGTATATTATTGACATCTAAGTAGTTTTTTAGCTTATTATATATATCTTTGGAGGTAGTGGTGCTTTCTAATCTTTTACATAACATCTCTTCAGCAAAATGTCCTTTATCAATATATTTTACATAAGTTATCAATACTGCCACACTGTCTATCAAAGTTGATTCACCCGTTTGCACTGAGAATTTTCTAGTTTTCAGCTTTTCATCAAGTTGTTTTTTAATATCTTCACTCATTTCATCTATTCGTCTGCTAACAGTGTTGTTACTGAGTGGCATAGCTTTTACAACTTTGTCAAGAACCATTTCAAGAAATGCTGATATTGACGGATTTATTAAATTCTCTCCTGTAGTATGATTTTATCCGGGGATCCACGCGGAGCCTGTCGTCTGCTGCAGAGAGGATAACTTGACGACGCCAAAAACCCAGTTGATATTTTGTTCTCGTCAAACGAATTTATAATATTTACTGGCCGCAATTATTTAAGAATTTGCTTTTTTCTTTCAATTTCGGCACCGAAATCTAACATTGCCTTTAAAATGCCCGGAGCAAAAGGGTTAAACTCATGTAGAGTCCATTTTCGAATTGCCCCCCTTAGTAATCAAATTGCCGCCCGGTGGGGCGTGGGTCCCACGTTGGGAAACACTGCTCTAACTGAAGTGTAAAAGCAATTAACCCTACAATTCTTCATAAATTTATACGAAATGTAAATTTGGTTTTAGTACAAATTTTTTTACAAATAACGTTAAAACAGCTTTAAAAGAATGTCAGATAATAAATTCAACGTTCAAATTTTGAAGTCTTTTGAAATAATTAATCGACTAATAAATCATAATTTATAAATAGATTCGAATTTTATTCTCATAGAATTGCTAGCACTAATTAGCATATTTGAGGTCACCTCCAGGAACCATTAAGATTGACAGTTCGGGAAAATCCGATCATTAGTCAGGGTGATATCTTTTTCCCGACTATTCTTAAGCGGACACTCTAATGCAGGCAAGTTTTCTTTATCCTACATAAATAATTTAAAATATAGAAAAAAATAAGTCCATGTTGACTTGTATTAAACCATGAATTTTCAAATGCCGGAATAAAAATTTCAAAATATTAAACAAATTATTGTATGGTTACACAGCGGAAAAAATGTGTTTTTTTTTTATATTTTTGAAAACTTTTTTTTCAGCATTTGATACTTAATGATTCACCCAAAGTTTACCAGAATTTATTTTTCTATAAATTTTAAAGTAAAAAATGGAGGCAGAACAGAATTTGCCATAAAATGTTCCTCCTGATTTTGATTTGAACTTCTTTTTTTTTTTAAATGTTCAAGATTCATGACTATCCTTCCTGCAGATCATGATCCAATTTTTAATTACAGAGTAAACTTATTCAAGATTGTGAAGCAGACTTCTGCTGGAAAGAACAAACTGAAACTACCTGCAGAATATTGCAAGAAGCACTTGATGCTATACAAGACTTCTGAAACAATTATTTCCCCTAGAGGATTTCATCTCTTAACTTAATCATTCAGCTGTATGAGTTTGCAGCACTTGTTCTAATCAAAGCTATCATTATATATTTTTTCATACGACTCTTGTGCCTATTTTGTATTTTTTCACTTTAAAATATTTGAGTGCTTTTGTAAAATAGCAATAAAATGTTATAGTTATTTATCTTTGACTGTAATTTGTTCCCCCCCCCCCACTAGATTTATGAGATTGGCAATTTTCTGCAGTCTTAATTCTCATGCCCATTCGAGTGGTATGGAGGTAATTGAAGTTCAACTTACTGAGTTGGTGTAGCATATATCACACGAACTAATTCATGGTTAAATTCGCAATTTAAATTATATATATATATTTTTTTAAATCATTAGGTCGAACATATTAATTTAAATATATTCTTTAGGATGACATACTTCTGAAAGTCTGGCTGAAACCTGCATCATCAATGAAAGCAAAGAAACAAAAGTAAATTATATCTCGAAATGGACTAATAAGTAAATAAAATTAGAGATTAAAAGCGGATAAGAGTATTGTTAAATTATAATTTTCTATTAGCTGAGTGTAAAATGGTTTTCTGGTAAACATATTTCAATTATACCCATTTAGATTTATTGTAATTTGAATACAAGGAGTATTTTTGAAACATATTAAATATGTAGTTAATGTTTACCCACATGTCCTATATTGAACAAAAATTTGTACTGCCCAGAGAAGCTTGTAATAATTTCTTTCTTTTACTTTATTCTGATTCGAACTAATATACTCTTCATTGGATATCCAACTAACAAATTTCTTCCATCTTTAAAGTTTTAGAAAGTTTATCTCGAACAGAATTAACCATGATTTTATTCATTCTTAATTCGAAATTAGTTTAAAATTATTAGAAAGTAATTTTTAATCATTTTAGTTAGAAATTTCAACAATTTATCATTGTTATTGCTTATAAATAACTTTTGCTGGTAATTCAACTTATGGTGTTATCCTTTAGTTCGATATTAAGAAATTCTGAGAAGTATAACTGGTGTAAAGCTATTAGATTTTAACATTAGTTCGAACATAATGCGTTTAAATGTTATGCATACGAGAACGAGATTTATGTGTTATTTCATGTGTTCAAAAATACACATGCGTTATTAATGTGATAAACAATTCTACTCCCATCTAATGCATGTTTTGTTTTATCTGACATGCAAAGGCTGTGTAAAATACATATATTTTACTTCTAATAACGATATAGATGGCTGTCACTCTTCCATATTTACATTTAGAACTATGGATTTATCTTATACTAAAAAGTGGTGTGTGTTCTTTCTATGCTCAGTCTAAGACATGTCGGAACCTGAAGATCGAAGCAGTATTTATTGTTCCACTTTGCCGTTACATAAACATATTACAGCTGTAGGATACTTCTTAACATCAGTATGGTAGAGCCGTTTTTTTGTTTACAGGGCCCCTGGTCCTATTATTATTTAGGGGCCCTTTATGAGTAAATTTGGAGAAACAATTTAATTTAGAATAATTTTCAAAAGTTATTTTATCTTAAGAGTAAAGAGAGAGCATAAATTAATTAAAAAAGCTTGTATACATTATTTTTATCGAAAATTAAAGGTAACAATACTTTTTGCACTTTTTGAGAGGCGAAGTCTTCTGCCACATCATCAAAATCTATTTCCTGTAAGACATCATCTTCAATGTTCATAATTGACAAATAAATCCATCTTTCTCGAGTCATACTGCTTCTTAACTCATTTTTTATAAATTTTAGTCTGAAGAATGAACGCTCGTTACTACAATTAGTTATGAGTGACAAAGAAATTCGAAATGAAATGTCAATGCTTGGATCGAGATTATTGTTTTTCACTGTTTTATAGTCATTTATGCCTAATTGTCCTAAGTTTTTCTCCTGGGCTAAATAATGCTCGATTTTCTTTTAATTATAAATTATGATTATATGTACAGGGTGTTTATAAAGTCCCGGACCATTTTGATGTTTAATAACTCATAAAATAATAAAGGTAGATTAAAATTAATAACATAAATGGTTAGACAGAGTCAAAAATTTTCATGACCCTTGTCAATGAACTTCCACGTGTGCCCCCTTCGTCGCACGGAGAATATCAAGTCGATAGTCAATTTTACACCAGGTAGCGGCAAGCATGTCGGCATCCACAGAAGATATTGCGGTTGTAATTCTTGATTTTAGGTCATCAATGTTCGACACGATCCTCCTGTAAATATTGTCCTTTATAAATCCCCAAAGAAAAAAAGTCCAGCGGCGTTATATCAGGTGATCTGGGTGGCCAAGGAATTGGACCTCCTCGCCCAATCCATTTTCCTGGAAAATGGTCATTCAAAGAACTACGAAAGATGATACCCCGATGAGGTGGTTCACCATCTTGTTGCAAAAAGACGTGTGGCTGAAGCTCTTCTAGTTGTGGAAATACGAAGTTTTCCAACATGTCTAAGTATACGACTAATGAGACCGTCTTTTCTCTAAAAAAGAAAGGCCCAAATGACTCGGTCGTGCATTAGTCCACAACGCTGAACTGATTTCTTTGGGGATTTATAAAGGACAATATTTACAGGAGGATCGTGTCGAACATTGATGACCTAAAATCCAGAATTACAACCGCAATAGCCTCTGGGGATGCCGACATGCATGCCGCTACCTGGCGTGAAATTGACTATTGACTCGATATTCTCCGTGCGACGAAGAGGTCACACGTGGAAGTTCATTGACAAGGGTCATGAAACTTTTTGACTCTGTCTAACCATTTATGTTATTATTTTTAATCCATCTTTATTTATTTATGAGTAATTAAACATCAAAATGGGTCCGGGACTTTATAAACAACCTGTATGTTATTTGCAATTTAAAAGGATTTATTGCAAACTTTTTCTAATTTTTTTTACGTTGCATTTTGCTTTGCTGCTCAAAATCTATAAGACTTAGAAACATGTAATTATGAAAGTTTGTATAAATATGCAAGGAGTTAGAAAGAATACATGAAAATACAATTTGATTAGTTTTTTTATTATTTTTTTTTAATAATCGCCGTTGAAAAACTGATTCAATTTTGAGTTTACAACTACCAATGTTTAGCTACGTATCCTTGCAATTTTAAAACCAATCCAGAAGCCAAGGGAACTCCTGAATCAGTACCCAGAGGTTTTGAATCGTTATGAGAACTTGGTGGAGTTTGTGACCCCGACAGATTTAACATGCACCAGTCACCATGTTATTCATGGGTATTATTCAGCCGGCTGAATTCTAACTCCCATCCTCACGAACACGAGTCCATAGCCCTACCAACCAAGCTATCGTGGCCAAATTATTAGTTTATTTTACAACAGTCATTGAATGGACCACCCAATTTCGAGTTTACGACTATTAATGTTCAACTCCATATCCTTGTAATTTTGCACCAAATCCAGCACAAGAGAACTCCAAGATCAAGTATTGGAAGAAATGTTTACCTTCGTGGAGGACGTATTGATGAATCTAACCCACATTTGAGTTAAATGGAGAGGGAAACCACGAAAACCACCCTCGGTTAGTCAAGGGGTGTCTAACCCATGATCCGTCTACCACTCAGGATCTTTTACGTCAGCACAGTAGTCGGTGTAAGCCGGGTCTGTAATTTATGTAGATCAGCCATCACTGGGATTCGAACTCGGTGCACCTCAATCGGAGAAGAATGCTCTATTCCTTGAGTCAATCTTCATTGAGTAATATAATAACTGTGCGGAAGGTTCCAATTTTATTGATTTGTCTAAATGTAGTCATCTTCAAAATGTAAATGGCAATTTAATCGTAATTTTTGAAGAGAAAAGAATGGAAATAAACAGTTTATCCTCTTTTAGTAGTTTTTTTTTAAATAATTGTAAATTATTAGTTTCTAACGTGCTTACGTTAAAAAAAATACGAAAAACATTTTTCTGTATTGGGAAATAATAATTAAGAACTGGAATAGAACCCACGATCTCACAGTTTTTGTTAGATTTCATAATCATTAGCCTCAAATATACACACCTGCCTTGCGGATATTTAAAAAAAATTTTTTTTTTAAATTTAATAAATTAAGCCATTTGGATACTTGAAATTCTCGATTTTGTTGAAAATTGTAATGGTTTTTATGTAGAACTTTCAGACACTTGTTTTCTTTTTCTTCAATTTTGCGAAAAAATAATTTTAAAAAAAATTCAAAAGAAAGCCTTTTGAGAAAGCAGAAGACCCTCTGAAATTTTGTGAAAAACACATGTGTTTACATGCGGCAATACAGTACCTTTTAGGAAGTGTGGTACTGACAGCACTGAGAAAAGAAAGTATGGTCAAAACTATTAAAATATAGTAAAATTTACGGTATTTATGGGAGCACCAAAGAAACAGGGTAGTTTTTTTTCCATAGCTATTTGGTTATGACTTCTCCCGAAATTAACATAATAAAAATATAGTTTTTTACCATCCTGTTCGGTAGGTATTTCGGTAATTTTATCATGATATCTTAGAGAAGCAGTTCCAAGCTGTCTTTTATAGATTTTTAACTTTCCGGGGAGAGTTAAAAAGGCTTCGCGAATTAGTATTTCTTATACCCGGAAATGAATACTTTTATAACTTCTAGTTAGTACTCTTTATAATTTCTGATTATATATAGATCCAACCTATAAATCATATCTTACATAACACTTTAGAAAGAATATGGAGAAATTGGCAATCTTCGTATCTATTTGAACTGAGAACTGCCCACCAGTCAATGCGATCCAAACATTGTGACACCAACAGAAAACTCAACAATCCTAGTGTATGACGAAAAACTTCGGCTCATCTGGAAAATGGGTACCGTCCTCATCAGCCATCCTGAACGTGATGAAAAGTCTAGTGCTTGCACTATTAGACTTTCTAATGAAGATGGGTACCGTCCTCATCAGCCATCCTGAACGTGATGGAAAGTCTAGTGCTTGCACTATTAGACTTTCTAATAAAGCAATGCTGAAACGACCAGTCCAACTGTTATATCCTGTTGAACTCGAAAACCTAGTAACAAAAGGACCTAGTAACTGTCTATCCAATGGTTCTTTTGGGGCTGGAGGATGAAGCAGATTTGCTTTTATTCTTTCGCCCCAGAGTGGGAGCTCCGAACTTTAATGTTTACTTCTCTTCACATAGAAAGAAGGTTTCAATTAGAACGAATGTAAGGGTTTTGCCCAGATTGTTATTTTTCTGTTAGTTTATGTGTTAAATGCCGTCCTGGCCAAATATGTGAAGTCCTAAAATGACTTATCTAGATAATTACAAGTAAAATCCGCTACAGAAAAGAACTAGGTTACCACTACCATGCTGATGTTTAGAATTACCCTACAACTGTAATATGTTTATGTAAAGGCAGAGTGAACTTTTATTCAATAAACACTTTCTATCTTCAGGTTCCGACGTGTCTTAGACTGAGCATAGAAAGAACACACACTATTATTTAGTGTAAGATAAATCCATAGTTCTAAATGTAAATATGGAATAGTGACAGACATCTATACCGTTATTAGAAGTAAAATATATGTAAGTATTTTAGACAGCCGTTGCATGTCAGATAGAAGAAAAATTGCATTAGATGAGATTAGAATTGATTATCACATTAATAACATATGCGTTTTTTTGAACATATTAAGTAAGATGTAACTCTTGTTCTCGTACACATAACATTTTAACGCATAATATTCGAACTAATGTTAAAACCTTTAAAAAATTTACACCTGCTATATTTCTCTCAGAATTTCTTAATATCGAACTAAAGGATAACACCATAAGTTGAATTACCAGCCAAATTATCTGATAAAGTATATTAAAAGTTATTTATAAACAANGTAATAAATCAATCTGTAAATTTATATATTTTATTTTTTTGTTTTTTGTTTTTGCCACCACAATGTAGCAAAATTTCAAAATGTTTTTAAACACAATGTATATATGTCACGATGTATGGGATAGGGGCCGCTGCGCGGCCCAGGTGCCCAGTTCTTTTTAAATAAAGCGAAAGCGAACAATGATAAATTGTTGAAATTTCTAACTAAAATGATTAAAAATTATCTTCTAATAATTTTAAACTAATTTCGAATTAAGAATGAATAAGATCATGGTTGATTCTGTTCAAGATAAACATCCTGAAACTTTGAAGATGGAAGAAATTTGTTAGTTAGTTATCCAATGAAGAGTAAATTAGTTTAGATCAGAATAAATTAAAGAAATTATTGCAAGTTTCTCTGGGCAGTACAAATCATTCTTCAATATGGGGCAATTGTGTAAACTCCAACTACGTATTTAATATGTTTCAAAAATATTTAATGTATTCAAATTATAATGAATCTAAATGGGTATAATTGAAATATGTTTACCAGAAAACCATTTTAAACTCAGCTAATAGAAAATTGTAGTTTAACGATACTCTTATCTGATTTTAGTCTAATTTTATTAACTTATTAGTCCATTTTGAAATATAATTTACTTTTTTTTCTTTGGCTAAAACCTGCATCATCAATGAAAGCAGACATTCCTGACATTGTGAAAAATATATTTAAATATTTTTGACCTAATGATTTAAAAAATATATATGTCATTTAAATCGCGAATTTAATCATGATTTAATTCGTGTGATTTATGCCAAACCAACACAGTAAATTGAACTTCGATTACCGCTAAGTCACTAGAATGGGCATAAGAATTAAGACTGTAGAAGATTGCCAATCTAAGAAATCTAGTGGACAAAAAATAAGTTACATTCAAAGATAAATAACAACATTTTATTGCTATTTTACAAAAGCACTCAAATATTTTTAAGTGAAAAAATACAAAATAGGCACAAGAGTCGTATGAAAAAATATATAAGTGATAGCTTTGATTAGAACAAGTGCTATAAACTAATACAGCTGAATGATTAAGTTAAGAGATGAAATCCTCTAGGGGAAATAATTGTTTCAGAAGTCTTTTATAGCATCGAGTGCTTCTTGCAATATTCTGCAGGTGGTTTCAGTTTCTTCCTTCCAGCAGAAGTCTGCTTCACAATCTTCCATAAGTTTACTCTGTAATTAAAAAATGGATCATGAAGTTAACTGCAGGAAGGATAGTCATGAATCTTGAACACTTGAACAGTGAAAAAAAAAAGTTCAAATGAGTGGCAAGCTGTTAAGAGGACGAGATACCGCAGGAGGAACATTTCATGGCAAATTCTACTCTGCCTCCATTTTTTACTTTAAAATTTATAGAAAAATAAATTCTGGTAAACTTTGAGTGAATCATTAAGTATCAGATGCTGAAAAAAAAGTTTTCAAAAAAATCAAAAGAAAACAATTTTCCCGTTGTGTAATCATACCATAATTTGCTTACCATTTTGAAATTTTTATTTCTGCATTTGAAAATTCATGGTTTAATCTAAGTTAACACGAATTCATTTTTTCTAAATTTTAAATCCTTTTCGTAGGATAAAGAAAACTTGCCTGCAGTATAGTGTCCTCTTACGAACAGTCGGGGAAAAAAATATTACCCTGACGAATAATCGGATTTTCACGAGCTAAGTGTCAATCTTAATGGTTCCTGGGGGTGACCTCAAATATGCTAATTAGTGCTAACTATTAGGTTACGAAATTAGACACAAACACGTACTTTCTCTGAATAAACAAATTTCTCTTTTTACAAAGTTCGAATCCTGACCCTTTGAAATAGGAGGGGGGTAGACAAAATTTCGAGAAATTCGGTCGCAATAAAGATTTATATATATAAGGGGAAGGCTAAAAAAAAATGCCAAATTTCCTCGCCATAGAAAGTGAATCAATTGAAAACTACCATAAAGAAACTGAATGAATGAGAAGACGGCAAAACATCTTTGGTTTGTTGCTAAGCAATCAAGAGGAGAATTGTCGGATCTGTATTCTGGACAAAGAAAGCAGTTTTCTTTTTGATTCTTTGAAAATAAAATTTGAATCGATTTATAAATTACTATGATTTATGAATCGATTAATTATTTCAAAGATTTTAAAATTTGAAAGCTGAATTTATTATAAAGCACTTTATTTTTTTAAAGCTGTTTTAACGTTATCAGCATGAAAATTTTACTAAAACCAAACTTACACGAGTTATTATAAATTTACGAAGAATTGTAGGGTTAACAGCTTTTACACTTCAGTTCGAGTCTTTCAGGTAAGGGAAAGAAAAAAAGGCCTCATAAAGATAGTGCTTTGGAGGGCCTCATAAAGATAGTACATCAAAATCGCCATCAGAAGGTTTTATAAAATTCACTGTATTTCTTTGCGATAAAATTTAAAACCTTAGTAAATATTAAGTGGCATTTTAAAAGCATTATATACACATAAATTTCTATTATGAATACTTACAAAATTAGAAGATTCTAAAAGTGCATTCAATAAATGTTTCTTAATGAAATCTAATACCTAAAAATAATAAAATAACCTAAATACAGTAAAATATAACACAGAAAAAACATAAAACATTTATTTGAAGAAGACCAAGAGTAACAAGGTATTTAAAAAAATAAAAATTTTTTGATTATTTCATTTTATTAATAATTTTTTAATACATAACTTACTAATACTACTCTTACTTTTTTCACTAAAAAGAAGATTATATACTTCATAGCAACGTCCTCCATTTGTTTCTGTACAGGCTCAAGAATTTTCATCACCAATGCTGAAGCACAGTGAACGTTCTTTTGATTACTTTCATTAGCTTTCAAGGCAGCCTATTTCAAAGGAAAAATGAAAGCTATTTGACGGATTAGTCAATGTTTATATTTAATAGAAATGTTTTATTACAATGTTATTGTTTTATTACGTTTGTTTAATTATTACAATTATAGAAATGCTTGAAACGTTTATATATTTCTAAGTAAATGGAATAATTTTTTTCTCAAAGAGAAACAAAGATCGCCAAAAAGACGCCGTATAGCACTGATCTTTACTCGTAATCGCCAAGATTATTTCCACAGCAACGTTTTTTGTTAAGTACATTTAACTGATGCTCTAGAATCTACATTTTACCTAACAATTTTTCTTTTAACATTTTATATTGAGGCGCGAAGCGTGAGACCATTTTCGTTAAATTATGTTTGTGCAAGTCCGAAAATGTCAGAAAGATTGAAGGCGATTGACATGCGTACATATTCTTAAAGATTGTTTATAGGTATTGTTTCTGAATCAAATACAGCAATTGAACAACAACGGTCAGAAGCAACGAATTGTAAGAGCTAAGAGTTTCTTTGACAGTTTGACAAAAGTTGTTAGAACTCTGTTAGGATTTTTAACCCAATCCACCATTATCACAAGACTCCTGGCATTCAGATCTCTTTCAATAATTAGATTTCTTATAGTTACGAAAGGAGGAAAAAAGATATTTTTTTGTTGAGATGAATACTAGAGTAGGAAAGTTTTTTGTCGAGAACCTTAAGAGATTCTGGGTAGAAGATTCCTTTCCAAATCTTAACAAACCATTGTAAAGACCAACGATTAGATTTCATAAATCTTATGAAAAATCTTTTAGAGTTCATTTTCTATTCCTGTACGAAATTTTTCTTTTTGCTTGAAGTTGCCGATTACAACTTACAAAAATTTCTGCAAAATGCGTAGACATTTCCTACTATATTTACATATGAGCAAATATTCTTAACGTAGTTGAAGGGGGAAGAAAAAAAGAGTTCAACTGCAACAAAAAGCTATCGTTTGCATATTTTAAACATAACTATTATCTAGCATTTTTTATATAGATCACAATATCGTTTGCATTATTTTTAATCTCTTATAGAATTCTAGTTTAAAATTGATTTAGTTTAGCCTTTGTTTCGTACTACTGGTTACAAGTTAAGCTTCTGTTTGTTTGAAAAGGTGAGCTTTTTTTTTTAGAAACATAATAAATATCTCCTTTTATAATAGATATCTTAATTGTTTATTTAAGGCAGCTACGCTGAAATTCTTAACTTAGCTTTTAACAATTACAAACTACTTAGTACCACTAAAGTTTCCGTGGAAGGCATAGTGCAGCCAATTGCATCATCTTCTGTATTTTCCACAGTTTCTTCTTCAACTGTTGAATTCTCCCAAAGTTTGACTGGGCCAGCAGGAGGAGCCAAAACATCACACCTAGATATAAATTCCAAATTATATAACATTCAAACAAGGGGTAAAAACTAATTACCTCTCAACATTCTTAGAAAACTAATAAAAATGCAGATATTCAGGGACGAAAGCTAATATTTAAACAAGAAAAAAAATGAAAACATTATCAGAATCTAACGAAACAATTGAAGGAAGCAGGTTTAAAAACATCAAAACTCGCTCAATCCGGAATCTGCGAGATGTTTTAATTTTTTTATTTTTTAAAATGAAATTTCATACAATTTTATGACGGCATGCACTAATTTCAATTTAGTGGATTTACTAGTTGTTTTATTATTAATATTTAAAATTGCTCGATTATTTTGTTACTAAGACCAGTTTATAGTATTTAGCAATAAAGAGCAATAATCTTATAAGATTGTTTTGATTTTGATTAAGCTTCTCTGAAGGAATCCTTCATTATGCTGAATTAAAATATTTATGAAATGCCCTTTGGATTACTACTTTTCTTTTATTCTTTGAAATGAAAGGATTTTATTTTTAAAGAGTAATCGTGTACAGGTTATTCCTTTTTCTGAATTTTTTTCTCCATTAAACTATCTAATTTCGTTTCGTTCTGCTTTAACTTCTCCGTCTGAAACACGCGTACTTTTGCTTTTTCACTTTATCGAATCGAAATTTCAGAGTTCAAAATAATTCATTTTAGTTTTGTGTAGTTGGGCGGTGAAAAAAGTTTAAGAGATTTAAAGTAAAAAAGAAAGTGGTTTAAGATTATTTGCATCTTTTCTAATAATAATTGAACAAAATATTTCAGAACTGAATTAAAAAAAATAGGACATTTTGAGAAGATTAAAAATTATTTCTGTAAAAACCTTCAATTTAAAATCTTATACATTTTTACTTCCTCTGTCTGCAATCAAGCCGGTACGGAATTTTTTCATACTATTCATAATTTTCTTCAAAAGTTATTGCAAAAAAAAAAGAAAAAAATTTAGGAAAGTAGTTTCAAATATACTTTTACATTTATTAATTTATTTTGTCTAGGGAACATACAGAAATTTTGTCAGAAGAGGGAAGAGAGTCCAACGGGAAAAAAAGCCTTCCTCAAAATATTTCAAATTAGTTTTTTGGAAATTTAAAAAAAATAGTTTCTCTAATTTATTCATTGTTACTAAACCATTAAATTTCGAAACAAAAGTTGCAATTTTATTAATATTTACATTTATAAAAAGGAAAATTTCGAAATCTTACTGCATTTTAACTCTTCAAGAAAAAGTAGTACTTTATTTACGTTGCTCTTTAAATTCTTTAAACTTTCTATGGTATAAACACACACGCACACACTTAAAAAAATTGCTATTGTGTTTATTTTTTACGTATGAACTTTATTTTGCGAAATGCATCTTGTAGACATATTTTAGCTAATAGCCTAAAATTTTAAAATACAACTTTAGTGTTCAGTTCATAACTTTGTATAAATTCAATATTACACCTAAGAAAAATTACTAAAAAGAAAAATTATTTACTTTTTTTGCAGTTTTTCTGGGGAGAAGATTTTTAGAAAGAAAAACTAAAAATAGAGAATTATTTGCATCTTTAGTAAAAATCTTAAAATTCTAAATCCCATTTTCTATCTGGGATCAAACTATTAGGTGAAAAATTTCGAAACAGTTCTTATTAGTTAGACCAAGTTACTAACTCTTACAATGACAAAATTGATATTTTTAAATAAAAAATATCTATTCTCAAACCAAATATCCTTCTCTGTCTGCACTATATCAAAAAGTTAACAAAATTTTGTCAAAAATAAGATTAAAATGAAACTCCTTCTTAAACATCACTTCACCCTATCAAAATTTTAGGTTTATCCAGGATGTGCATTCTGACGTCATTAGCAATTCTCCCCTATTTTTTCGTCACATGAAGTTAACTTAAAATTAGTATATAACAAAGCTATGGTTTTAAAAAAATTCAGGTCAAATCTGAACATACTGAGTTGATTTTCGAGAGTTAAATTACAGACTATTCAAAACAATTAAGATTACGATATTGCCCTACTCATGCCGGTTCCTCATTGTACGAGGAAACATGTTTACAGACTATCATTAAAAATACCTGCTTTACCGGCATTTTATAAGGATTCTATGTTTTTGTTTTAATTTCTCGATATTATTTATGCCAGATAGCGTTCTGGTTTTCCCACTCTTTATTATTGTTTTGGGACCCCAAAAGCGTTTGCTTACATTTGTAAACGAATTTTAAAAATAGGATAAAGGAAATTAAAGAACACTTTCTATACCAGCGGTTTCTAGAGAATGCTCCGTGGAATCCGAGGGCTCCGAGAGTTGACTTTGTTTTCGAACTAGCAATGACTTTTAAAATCTTTAAATATTTGTAGATCCAATCAATAATCCAGTATTTTATTTAACAATTCAGTTGCCTGAATGAAATGATTTCATATGCCATGAAAAACAAATTGCTTTTTTTTTTCAAATAAAATTTTTTATACAAATAATATATTGAATACCTTATGAAAATGTAAAAATTTAATCTGTCTTTACGCTTTTCAAATCAAAATAAATAAACTGAATCTTCTAATAAGAAATTTTTTAAAAAAAATTTAACAGCTGCAGGTTAGATTTTAAATTACTAAAATTCGAAACATAAAGAACATTGACAATATCGCAGACATTTGTTATAAATTAATATTGAAATAAAAGCACTTGCGCTTGTGCCACAGCCAGACTGTGAGAAAATTCGGTTACTATATTGTTTAAAATTAATTAAGGTGTTAGGATTGGAAATTGGTTGAAGAATAGGAATATTTAAATACAGTTGTGCTGTACAGTCATATTGGTTACCATTAAAGTGTACATGTTGTAATGGATAACTTTATTTTATTTTATAAATGTCGTTGAACAGCTGTCCAAATTTTGAGATTACGACTAACAGTGTTCAACTCCGTATCTTTGTAATTTTGAACCCAATTCGGAAGACAAGGGAACTCCTGGATCAAGTATTGGGAGAAAATTGTCTTTGTTAAAGACTTTTTGGATGGCACTAACTCGCATTATATTGAGAGGAAGATCACGGAAACCTCCCACAGTTATAAGACCAGGGAATTTTAATCCATGATATGTCTAACACTAAGGATATTTTACGTTAGCACTGTGGTCGGTGCCAGCCGAGTGCGGATTCCGCATCGTCTAGTCGTAGCTGCTATTCGAACCCGGTTCACCTCATTGGAAAGCGAATGCTCAATCCCCTGAGCCACTCTAATGATAAATATATTTTATTTCCGCCGTTGAACAGCAGACCTAATTTTGGATTTACAACTACTAATGTTCAACTCCGTAGTCTTGTAATTTTGAACCCGACCCCGAAGACAAGGTAAAAGGATAATTATAAAAAGTGACCAAGCTGGTTGAAAAAGAAGGCTAGCGTAAGGTCATAATTTTCTTTATGTGCTTCATTTATTAAGTTGGGCTTCCTCCGAAAAAAAGAGCATTCATTTAGGGCTCTATGACCACTACTCTGGGCAATGATTATATAATTATAATTCTCTTTAATACAATTTTCTTCCTATTTTTGTTTGTTTTTCCAAGATAAAGAAAGAAAACAGCTATGTGATACCCTGTGGGAGTACTAATCTAATTTGTTTATCACCATCTGTCGAGTTTTTATTTTTATTATTTTGTTTCTTGTAAAGGCCTGTTTATGCGGTCCAATTTCTTGAATCCGAGAAACTGGCCGGATTTCTCTGTCCAAGAAATTGGATGATTCGTTGACACTATCCAAGTTCTTGAATGTCACTGATTCGTTGGAAAAAAAACATGCGCATTGTTCATATTCAACATTATAAAATAATACTTACATAAGTTTAAAATTACTAAATAAATTCAAATAAAATCATAATAACTCAAATATATCGCAACAGATCAATTTATTTGGACTAAAATATATGAAAACAGGCAACAAAATGATATAATTTTCTGCCTGCTTGTTGACGTCACAAAACCTAAGACGCTGATTGGTTAAGGGAGAAAAACTTGGATGGAAAGTAGAACGTGCTCTACTATCGTCCAAGAAGTTGGACCAAGTTCTTGGATGATTGTTTACACGATCCAAGCAAAACAAGTTTCCATCAATATCAATCAATCTCTGTCCAAGGAATTGGATCGTCTAAACAGGCCTTAAGTCTTGTCGGGTTCTTAGGATTAACAGTTCTTTTTGGATAAAGTTGGAATAAAATAAAGTGGCACTTACACAGTGCTGTCAAAATCTGGATGGTGGTAGTTTATGTAGAACATATTGGAGTCTATGTGGGACAGAAGTCTCTCTTTACAACTACCTGCTTCCTTTTCTATGGATGCTCCGATTAGGAAAACCACATCATTTCGCAACGATGGGTATCGGTCCAACTGCAAATAAGTTTCTAGTAATTAGAAGCATTTAAAAAGGAAAATTTTCTCATTTTTCTATGATAAGAACATTCAAGCGCATAATGCTCGAACTAATGTTAAAACCTGATAACTTTACACCAGTTATATTTCTCTCAGAATTTCTTAATATCGAACTAAAGGATAACGCCATAAGTTGAATTACCAGCCAAATTATCTGATAAAGTATATTAAAAGTTATTTATAAACAATAACAATGATAAATTGCTGAAATTTCTAACTAAAATGATTGAAAATTATCTTAGTAATTTTAAACTAATTTTTAATTAAGAATGAATAAAATCATGGTTGATTTCTGTTCAAGATAAACATCCTAAAACTTTGAAGATGGAAGAAATTTGTTAGTTAGATATCCAATGAAGAGTAAATTAGTTTAGATCAGAATAAATTAAAGAAATTATTGCAAGTTTCTCTGGGCAGTACAAATCATTCTTCAATATGGGGCATGTGGGTAAACACAAACTAAGTATTTAATATGTTTCAAAAACACTTAATGTATTAAAATTACAATAAATCTAAACGGATATATTTGAAATATGTTTACCAGAAAACCATTTAAACTCAGCTAATAGAAAATTATAATTTAACGATACTCTTATCCGCTTTTAGTCTCTAATTTTATTTATTAGTCTATTTTGAAATATAATTTACTTTCGTTTCTTTGGCTAAAACCTGCATCATCAATTAAAGCAGACTTTCAGAAGTATGACATATATTTAAATATTTCACTTTAGGGTACAGCAGGAGTAAAGATGGATTATATATAAACTAGTTAGGCTTTCAAAAGCTCGAACCAAACTAAACAGCACCATGTTATCGAAATTTTGTAGAATTTTACTGCACGGTAGATTCGCTGTTAACAGGCGATGATAGGGGAAATATTAATGAGCGGAATTCACAAATTTTGATAAAAAGTTTTGAAAAATATAAAAAATTATATTATTATAGAACAGTAATAAGCAAGGTTTAAATCAGTAATGAAAATTTAGAGGTCCTATAAAATCACCTAGGTATTCATTAAGTTATAGACTAAAAAATGAATTCCAAGATATAATTTTTTACATCATTTTAAAGAATGTAATTTTACTTTGTAAAATACAAAATTTGAACGAAATCGGTCGAATTGTTCCTGAGTAACCAAATTTTCAAGAAGCTGCATTTTATTAGATTTCTCAGTACCTATTCGACCGATTTTCTCAAATTGTGTATTTTGCCACTTAAAAATTAAGTCCTTTTTAAATCATGTAAAAGAAATGGTATACAATATAATTCAAAATTCTTGACTAATTTTAAATCAAAAAAAAAATAAATATTTACTAAAAGTTATTTTCATGGAATCATCTTTAGATAAGAGAATTTTATAATTGCGTGAAAAATGTTTTAATTTGCTTAAAATGTTCCAGGTATGGTAGAATAGGCAAAAAATAAAATTAGCATTTATAGGTCCAAAATTTGACCCGCTTTTTCTTTACTGAACTATGGGGACCATATTTCCCAGATTGCGGCTACCCCTATTTTAGGAAATAGCCTATTTTAGGAACCTATTTCAGGGGGAAAAAAAGTTATGTTTATTCAGACAGAGTAAGTTTTTGTATAGGTTACCAAAATCTGACAAATCATTAACGAAGAAGCATAGATTAATAACATCTAAACCTTGTTTATTGCCGCAGGAAACTGAAAGGATATGAAAAATAATTTTACATCCATTCAGTTTTTGCTAAGCAAATTAACTGGTTTTGATGTTTTCAATTCCATAGTCAGTATTTAATGAACCTTTTTCTTGCTTAAATACAAATTTAAGACCCCTAAAGTTTTTTACGAAAAGTACCAGCCTACCAGTACCTACCAGTATAAACAGATTACCCAATACTTCATGATTATGTCACGTTTTTCAATGTCAAACTATAAATTCTATTTGGACGAATTGCTCATTAATACTTGGTTGCATTGTTTTTAAAAGAAATCCAGATTTAGATACCGCAAAAAGTTATTTTAAATTTGAGATATGAATTTTTTCGCTATATATTTATTTCGTCAGTTAAATCACGATTAATAGAAAATGTTATTTTGAGTTACGAAGCTAATCGGCTGCAGTAGAGATAACAGACTTCTCTTAACACTACACTTACAGACTTTGAGACTTCTGCAATAGCTGCCTTCAATACTTCTTGAATACAAGTAACAGACTGCGCCATGGGATCTTTGTACTGTTTTAATAAAATGTTGTTCATTGCATTCAAAGCGAGATTAGGTATAGCAATGGCTGTTCTGAAATGACACACAATGAAATCAAATTACAGCTTTTATTATATTTTTAAATGCATAATATGCTAAGAAAATTGTGCACAAAATTAAAAATGAAATGTGGATTCACTTAATATCTATTTTAAAATAACACAAAATTAAATATAAAAAAAAACAGGTTTATAAGAATTTTAAAAAATGGGAATTTTAGAAAAATAGCATGTTACGCTATTAATTAGTACAGTGCGCAAAATATGAGTTTTCAACAACAATTTTAAATAGTATGTTAAGACAATGAAGTAGCACAGTGCGCAAAATACTAATTTTAAATAGTAAGTTTAGATAATGAAGAACAATGCTTAAAATCGAATTTTAAATAGTATGTTTTACATAAGTTTAAATGGTATGTTAAGATAATGAAGTACAGTGCGTAAAGTAAAAAGCGGTAACACATTATCAATTTTATTTGGAGGAACAAATTATGGTGTGCGATTTTTCCAGAGCGTTTATACTTATGGATTTGATATAGATGAGGCTATAAAAAAGTATGCTATATGTTCCAAAAAAAGTTCTAAATATCGTATTTTAATATTGAGTGTTTTTAAACTTACCTTATACCTAGTATGTTTACGATGATCATGTGCGTTGCATTTTCATCAGGAACCAGCGTCTATAATAGGAATAAAACTTAAAATTACAAAACTAAATAAATAAAATGTTATCCCAATATTTAGAAAGTAAATTATGTTAATAAAACATAACTTGTCACCCTGACTGCTAATTTATCATCAATACGTACGGTTTAACATTCTAACTGTATCTAAATCCAACGATTCACGACATAGGTAAGAGTGATCAAGAAATTTAAAATCTGTATTATTGTTCAGGGAAACAGGAAAGGTCATAAAGGTTTTTCATACAGCGGTGATTGAATATTAACAGAATTTTAAGATAACGACGATAAGTTCAAGAATTACTGGATCGATTTAAAAAATATGTCCTTAAGATCGGTTGTTATAATGGAAATAAAATAACCATTCAACAGACATACATAACTCTTTCCGGAATCAGAACAGTAACAATTATCCGAGTCATAAATTTAAAAAATTTCTAAAAAAGAACAATTTACTAGCATATAAGACGTGCAAACTCAATTCTACCTTAAGGTACATTTTGATAGATGATGAATGTTGACTTTGTCGAATACTACTCTCTCCGCAGCCCAATTACATTGGTATGCCGTAAGCAATGTACCGTACTTCTTTCATCAACAGAAGCAGAGAGCACGGTTTTTTTCGATAGCGACGGTACTTAAGATCTTTATCTTATTAAATTACTTAATGATTTGTGGGTCAATAATTTTAATGAGATGCGCCTGAAATTCACAGTAAATCCAGTTTTTCACAAAAGAACAAAGTACTTAGATATCAGACACCATTTTAAAGGGGAAACCTTGAAAAATAAGCTAATCAATACAGATTTCGTGCCCATCGAAAACAAGGGGGCCGCTGATCTACTAGCACAGGGCTTTACCACGTAATAAGCAATATTGTTACTAATTGTTAGGTATTGAAGATACTAACTTGGTGTTCGGGTAAATGGATTGTAGGTGTTGTTGGGTTTTAACTATAAACGTCAATATCTTTACTTATTCACTCTGCGGATGGAATTGTCTGGCATATAGATGGAGCCTAAAACAGCGCATGTCTGGTGGACGAAGCATTTGTAAGAATTAGTTGAATTTTTTTATTTACTCTTTCGCTTCTTTGACATGTATTAATGGTAAGTTTTGTATGTTATGTTGTTGAAAGAATAAAATGGCCACTCACTAGAGACAAGTTTCTTTTTACTTCTGTGTTCAGCTTGTACTTTATTTTGGCACCAGCTGAAAACTTTGTTGGATCTATCAGCGGTGACAATAAAATTTAGAATCAGCCTGAAAAGTGACGGTAATAATGTTTACAAACATTTCACAAGGATTAGATTATTACAATTACGGGGTTTGCGCCCCGTATAAAATGCATAAAGTAAGATTTATGCACGCATGAAGAGATAACAGAGGAATTGTGGTTAACAAATAATTTTGGTTAGCAACAGATTTTGATCAACGTTGAAATCCATGCAGAATGGCAACATTCGATCAATCAATTAAAGCCATCTTATGCCATCATTTGTCGCTAAGACTGCAAAATTTTCAGTTATGGTTCCAGGCTTTTTATTTATTCTATTTCATGCAAATTAATTGAATGACGCTTGGTTCAATATACAAAATACGCTTAAAAGAAAGTAATGTTAAAAAAAAAGACTAGATTAAATTTTTTTCGTAATTTCAGGTAACAAATTTTAAAGTAAATAAAAGCTCGTATAATGGTTGGTTGACTGAATGTAAACCATAACAAGCTTCTTAAAACCGGAAGAAATTTAGAAAACTTCCTATGTATCCCTCCGCTTATTTATGAGATGAGTGAATAGGCTTAATATTCTAAGAAGTTCTATTAGTGTGATTTGTTCTTACGCTTAATTAAGGAAAAATATCGCAACATAAAGTGCAAGGTTTGCCATGCTTTGAATGTTATCCCTTATTTGGCTATAGTGTACAATATCACTCTTTGTTTCGTCGAAATTTAAATTGAAAGAACACATTATAATTCAAGCACTACAAGTATAATATTATTAGATGGAGCTCTTTTTCAAGCTCAGGCGTAAAAATTAATCGAAAGTAGTAACCCGGAAGTCGTACGACGAATTTTAACCACTAGCGTGATCTGTGCTTAGCCTTACACGATCAACCTTCTATAATTACAACCGATTACAGCAAAGAGGAAAATCTCCAAAAGACAGGGAGAGAGAGAGAGAGAGTTGTTTAAGGCCACTGGATTGTAAATTAACTAGGCCGCAACACTTATGAAAGACGATCATGGCTGACAATCTTTACTTTAAACAAGCCCATGAAAATTTATCTTGACTCACATTCTTGACTTTTTACGATTTTCCATTAATTACTTAAGCTAGGAAAAAATGTACATTTAAGAGATATGTCCTGCACTAAGAATTTAACATTTCTGTAGTATTTATACCTTTATCCGACAAAATTTAATAAAAAAGGTCTATTCCATGATCGCTCGTATTATAATCATCTTTTCCTAATCACCCGAATTACCAGAAAATAAATATATTTTATACCTTATGGTTTGTTTAAAAATTTTAAAAAGAAAACGGAAAAGTCTATTTTGTCTATATTTAAGAAAAAGTGCAGAAAGCTTTGCAGTTCCTTTCTTCCTTCAAAAATCTATATTTTAATTTTTCATCAAAAAGTAAATTTGTCCAGAACATTTAAACGAAAAATATTTTTCCTCAATAGAAAAATTCGATTGCATTAAGTCTCTCGCCGTTAATTTGCACATACATATAATTTTTATTATTTATAAACGATCTATTATTGTTTATTTTTTGTTTTTGCTGCTTTCTTGTGCAAAAATCAAACATAACATGCGAATAAAAAAACTACTTCATAAAGTACTTACCTGATAACATAGGACCGTTTACCCAGTGGTTTGCCACCACCTATGCTATCTCCCATTCTAATTTCGAAGTTTTTCAGCTCTTTTTGATGTTCGACAAGTTTCTGAGATATATCTGTCCGCAGCTGTGGCAAAAACTTGAGTATATGTGTCCTCAGAGTTTTTTGTAGCATTTGAATGAGATAAGGAATGCCCATTTTATGTTTAATGCTCCTAAATAAAAAGTAAAATTAAAAACAAACGCTTTGTAAAACAACTTCGATTTTAATAGGCCTCTCTAAGCGAAACATTATGAATAAATAAGCTAAAAACTTGCATTATACATTGCCATAGTAACAAACTTAAACTTGCTCAAAAAAACTACTTACTTGAAAGCTACGTGGTTTTCAAAGAATTCTCTCTCTTTCTTAAGTATCTCCTCCAAGTCTTTCTCGTCTTCAGTGTCATTTCTATTCACCACACCAACATATCCTGCGAGGAAAATATTAAAACGTAAGCCTTTAAAAAAATTTTATTAGTTTAGTTATTTCAGCTTAGTTTTCATAATAACGTTAATTAAAACTTCGCATAAAGTTCCAAGGATTTTTACAGATATTTTATAAAAAATGCTCTATATGAGTGAGAAATCTAAATTAATTATGAAAGATCTCTTTTTGCGATAAAATATTTTGTATAAGATCCATTTTTACTACAAAATTTTTTGAATGGTCCGCTAATGGACCCAATTTCTTTTATGCAAAACCCTGTTGCGCAAGGTATTCGTTAACATAATGATCACATTTACGTTTTTTAAATAAATTAAATATTCTATATACACAACAGCTGACATTAATGCTTTTTGCGCGAAATGTTATTTTTATACTGGGCACAGATATCACTTGGTAGTAAAATTTATGAATTTTATTGATTTCTTGAAATTAAAAAATTTACTTAAAATGATCTGGATCAATACAATATCTAAATAACATCGCACCAACTACAGTGCTGCTGAAAAAATATCTTCATTGATAATGGGTTAAAGTCTCCTTGCCGTGAGGGCTAACCATGGAAAGTTTTCGTAGATGTCCTCTCCATGTAAACGCAAATACGGGTTAGTTCCAGCAACATTTTCTCTACGAAGGAAAATTCCTCCCAATGCTTGATCCCTAGTTCTTTGTGTTCAAAATCATAAGCAGAGATGCAAACTTGCTCCAGACAGTAAATATATAGTTTAAAGTGGTAGTTTATCAATTGTGATTATTGGTTTAATAAATTCAATTTAGTAGATTTTTATCCACCACTATTTCTAAATAATTCTTAGGTTTATACAATTCACCACTTTAAAATACTAATGTCATGCCATACCTTTCAAAAAGCAAGCAAAAATAGTCAAATATCAGTAAAATTTATTTTGTAGTAATTTAAAGTTTCTTTAAATTATTATGGCGAGTCCGGAGCAGTTGGCATTTCTGCATAAGGTTACGAAGATAAACATAGTGGTAATTGTGTGCTCAAAATTGGGTCGGCTGTTCCACGACGGTTGTAAAATGAAAACAATCTAAATAAATTAAACATACTTATGAATGTTTATTATCATACAATGGAATTTATAAGCCCTTATAAAATAGAGAGTATATTTCTGTCAATAGTAATTAAATTTTCTTTTGACTACTTTTTGGAATCTTCTTCGGAAAGTTTATAGGTAAGTTAGACTTAAAATTAAATTTTAAACAAATGAAATTATTTTTTAAATAGTCATTATCCAATACTGGCACTTCTGAATTTCAAATCACCTACCTTTCTGTAGATATATTTTTCTATTTTCCAAAACATCCTTGTAATCTCCATCGTTAGGTCTATCAAGTTTAGTTACAACTCCGATGGTCCTTTCCCCTAAAAATTAAAACTTTTTTTCATTACATATATAAAATAATAAAAACAACTTACGTATAGTTAAATTTTTTAAAGAATTTTTTTCAAAAACTTTTTTTTAAATATAATTTAGTAGAAGAGGCTAATAAAAGTGAAAGTTTACGAGGTAGATTAAGTTTTATTACATCATGCGATGCAGAATATTGCAACAATTAGCAGAAGATGCAATATTAGCGTAAAGTGAAAGTTTAAAAATTTTATTTGAATTTTGATCGTATAAATCTGAAACTTTTCAGTATTTGGGTTGTTCAAGTATCTTTAAATCGAAATTGGGCCTAACCGACGCAAAATGTCCCATACATGAAGTATCATTGCTTTGCAATAGTAACTTAAATATCAGGTAACATTAGGTAATAAATTTAATAAAAATATAATCACAATTTATAACTTAACGCTTAAAAGCATTGCAGAGAAAATGCTTTCGTTTAAAACCTAATTTTCTAATAAGTCGTACGCACATTGGTGTTCTGAAACAAGAGAATTTTAAATTCTGAGCAATTATATCCGAAACTACGAAACATATTTTAATGAAATGCAGTGAAAACTTTGGATTGCAAGTTTCTTCTATAGTGGAAAATAACAGCAAAAATAACGATGGAAAAAAAGAACACTCCAGAAAAAAATAGTTTTCTTTCAGCCTAAGTGAAAGAAACTCATTTTCAAAATGATCGGCATTAAAACGATTTATAATTGTAATCAAGTTTAAAATATCAAGTTAAAGCCAACTTGAATTAATACTATCATTTTTAAATAAGCAAAAGAAAGAGCAGTAATTTCAAAGAAAAAAAAATTCTTATTTCCTAAGAAATTGATGACTAATTCTATATTATATGTAAATGAGTGAAAATCTAATTTTCATATCTTTTACTGTAAAATCTGATTTTAAAAACTATATAAAAAACTATTTAAATATAATTAAATTCTACTAATATTAATGAATTAACAATTTACGTATATTAAACAACACTAATACAAATCTTATATTGATTTCACAATTACAGATAACAATTTTCATTATCAAATACTGTTATAATAAGTTTGAATAGTCTAGCTTTTAAATAATATTATATATAAATTTTAATACTCTGTATTAATCTTAATAACATAAAAGTGGTTATTATTTTAAATAAAGTAGGTATGAAAAACTTAAATGTCACTCATTGTATTAAATTTAATAGCTTTAAAAGCTATGCTTATAATGCTTAGAAGAAACCATCAAAAACTTAATTTGTCATTTTTATTTTCTTCCCTTTAGTTCTATTTCTACCGTTTTGTCTAGTTTCTTCCAGTATCCTAAGTGAAAGAGATATCTTACAGAAAAAATTTCAAACCTTGTTAAGGCAAGGGCTATTACAATACAAAAAACAACAGCCTTAAGCAGATATATTACAAGCGTGATGACGTGTTGCATGTTGGGTGACCAAAACTGAACACACATTGAGCGTTTTTTAATAAATACCAGGAGGAGAGTACAAACATCTTTCCATGGATCACTAGTCATTATATTTCTCACATTTGTAAATTAACATTTCCTCATAACTGGATGAATTTTTTAAACTAACCACATATATTAAAGGTGGTCATTACAGAGCACCTTTTTATTGTTAAAACTGACTTACTCTTAGGATCCACTTCCCTTGCTATTTCAAGGGAATCACAAGTTAGAAAATCCTGAGTGGCAGGAATGATGGCAAGAATGGGCTTCCTTGGGCTCAATGTATTTCAGGACCATCTCTCGTACTTCCTGGATGTTACTACGGGCATCCCCGTCTGGAACGTTCCTGATCAAACCAGGCAAATCCACTACAGTTAATTTTAAAACTAACAAAAAGAAGGTTTTTTAATCAGTGTCTTTCATACAAATAAGCAAAAATATAATGAATAATTCTGACACCAAAATTAGAAAAATATTTTCCTAATGGCAAAAGTTAAAAATTTATTTTTTATCCACTTATAAATACATTCAGAATAAATTCCGCACCCTATGTTAACTTTTATTGACACGTATGATAGACCTCAAGAATAGGATGTTTATATCTAGGGGATTACGTCTAAATACCCAGCTCGCTCATGCTCATCGACCCACGAAAATGCTCACGAAATGCGACCCACGAGAACCTTTTAATACTGTTTAATACCACAAAATTTTTTAAACTTTAAGCAGATACAATGAATAACTCATTGTGATCGTATTTTGTGGACACTCAAAAGGAATTGTTGCCTTGTGACTGTTATACATCAAAAAGTTTTTTTTTTAAACTTTATTTTAAAAGTACTAGTGGGCTTAGCCCTCTGCTTGCTTTTGTGTAAAAGTAGATACGCCTTCGGGGGTTGGTACATCTAGGACAATGATTTCCTTCCATTTGTTGCTCACCCCCCCCCCCTNCCCCCCCCCCCCTCTAGAATTTGGATGAGATTTATCGCCTTTGATTTAAAAAAATATATATATACATCAATAAATTTGAATATGAGCTAAATTATACCAGATTTTAATTTCAATTAAAATGTAAATAATGAAACAATTTTATCCAGTCACATCAGAAATTTAACGCTTATCTCCTTGAATATTTTTTTCTATAAAAAGGAGATGTTTGAAGCGAAATAATTTATGCAAGAATAAAAAAAATTTAATATGATCTGGAGAAAATGAAAATTTAAACTAAAATGAGAGAAATAAAACCTGAAAATTGAAATACTCAATTGCTTATTTTTACCGTTTTAATGACTGTATTACGCTTGGTTGATTTCAGTTAAAACTTGAATACCAGGATTTTTGTTCGTTAGAATTAAGCATAGGTCTCCTTTGAAGCGAATGTCTAACCTACTCCGTTTTGTGAGAAGCTGGACGACCGAACTAAATCTTTTTACAGGATATGTTGACGGGATCCTGAAGAGGAGCGATTCGCTGGCTTTAATTTTTATTCGTAATTACAAATTTTTTCTTCTGAATACTCGTCATTGTTTGCCCACCTGAGTATTATCGCCCTCAGATTGGGAACCACTGATCTAGGACATTATATCTACTCATAGATATGACAACTTGCTTTTAAGATTACTAAAGCAGTTCAAAAGTCAATTATTGTTAAAAGGAAATTGTTTCTACGACAAAATTAGATACAAATTTGAGGAGTTAGCGTCTATTTCAAACACGGTGCTAGATACAGTGTACGACAAATACTTTTGAAAAAGGTAGAGAGAAAAATAATGTTCGATTATTCAGTAAGTAATTCTTCAGCAGTTAGTAATTCTTAAGATTTTAAAATCCTCTTCCACGCAATCAAACATTCTGATTTTAGGCCTACATCCAACTCAAGTTCAAGTTGAACTATGCCCGATTGGCTTATAAAATTTGTAAATGTTCATAATAATCTCCTTAGAATTGATCTGTTTGCTCCAACAATAAATTTTGATGTTTTCAGCCCTGCCTTTTTAAATAGTGAATAACCAGATCTTGATGTTAATCTGACGATTAAATATTATAGTTTGCAAGCTAATATTTAAAGGGACAACTAATAATACAATCTATTGCAGATATAATTTTTTCTCTTTTAGACTAAAAGTTTTTAAAACATAAGTAAGGGTGATTACTACGGAATTGTATCTCGCAAAAACAGGATGCCTTTTAATTTTTTTTTTAAACAAAGATTAGGAACTCATTATTATACTAACCTCGAGGAGAGTATATTTGCATGATTATGGGATCTGACGTGAATCCAGTAGGTCCTGGATACCTACGAGTCTCTGTTTCAATCTCCTCTCTTACTTTCTTGAAGTCAGTAAATCGGACTTCTGGCTTGTGAGAAAACACTACATACTCTGAAAATAAGTAAAGAAAAAAAAAAGAATATTAGATAATTCAGACACTAAAATTAGAAAAATATTTTCAAAATAGTAAAATTGATGATTTTACTTCCATTTTAAATATATTCTCTTAATTCTTTCCATGATTTATATACTACGTTATAATTCCTCATTTTAGTTTCTTAAAAATAGATAACAAGATTAAGATGTCTATATCCAGTGCACTGCATCTAGGTACCCTGCTCGCTGACGTTCATGAACTCACGAAACTGCTTTCGCAGTTCGCTTCAACAGTATGATATTTTACTAAAAAGTGACTAGATAATTGAAAAACAAAGCATAATAAATAATAATTTCAAGTAACGGAATAAAACAAAATTATTTTTCTCAAAATATTTATAGTTGGAGATATTAATCTTGCAGCTCAATTGTCTTTATACTGACATTTTTATAAGCAATCTTTTACCATATACAAATATAGATATTTATTTCCATTTAAAAAAATTAAGGTATCCTACTCTCTTTTTTTTTTTTTTTTTTTTTGTGTGTGGTATGCCTGTTTTAGGCAATGGGGGTGCGATTTTTCTTGTATTTCAGTGGCACCAGGAATTCTACTTCTGCCACGCCATTTACGCAACCACAACCCGCTTATAGGGCGGTATAGGCTTATAGTCACACACAAAGGAGAAAAGACATAGAACACACAGAGAAAGAAACATGCATGCCCTGCCCGTGATTCGAACCCAGGACCTTTCTGATGCAAGGACAGTTCCCTGCCCCCTACACAGGCCGGTCGGCTACTCTCTTGATGAGAAAGGAAAAAAATGTGCGATAATATATATTTTTTAATGTATGTATAACTAAAATAAAGAAAATTAAGCGAAATATTACCTTCATGTTGATTTGGGGTCATCTGAACAATGGTTGGTCTTCTGGTAACAGTACCAGTTCCCCGAGGTAAAAACTCCCTAAAACGAAATTACAATTTTCAAAATTGTTATAAAACTGATCTTTTTTAATTTAAAAAGTCTATAATCAATAATGAAATAATTGGGAAAGTTTGTATTTAATGTAATATAAACTGACATTAGCATTTTACACACATACTAATAAGAAGAGAAAATTTTCAAAGTTTTGTTTATCACTGCTTAGATAGGTATTGCGTAAAAAGTCATCAAAAGCTATTATTCTGGACTTCAAACAATGTGTGATAGTTTTATTTTTTAGATTGGCTGGATTTAATTTTGTATTAAAGATAGATTATGAAAAGTGAATATTGTGAAAGTTTGAGCCCCTAAAATTTTTTCCCCTTCCCTGTAGAAAATATCAACGTTCAAGGTAATTTCTTTAAAAGTGAAATATAAGGATGTTTCAAGAGGTTTATCTTAAAAAAGCAACTATACCTCCAAGCTGTATTTTGCTGCATTTGTATATCGATGCTTATTTATGGACAAACTTTCGTTTCCATGCGGCATTGTTGCTTTTCAGAGCCAAAAGAGCTCAGCCAAAGTTAGTGAGAAATTCTGTTTGATGATTTTCTGCTCTAAAAACTTTGGTAAAACAGCACCACAATAATTTCTTTGCTGAATATTAAAGTTCACCAATAGGACAGGTTGTGTGAATCAGCACTTTCCTAATTTATAGATGTTTATAGTAGCCGTTCAAACTTTCAAAAAATGGAAAATCTGCAAATTTTTATTTAGCTTTTCTCAAAACGACATTGCCGCTCAAAAAAATTTAAAAAAAAATAACTATATCATCTAATCGGTAAATTTATCTATCAGCACGTGGGGGCAAAAAAAAAATCAATGAGACCTCACCCCATTTTCAAGAAAAAAATTTACCAAAGTTTCTTATAAATGCTATGCTAGAAATCTCATTCCTCCTTTTTATAGAGACAGATGAAATTTATCTCTCCCTCTAAAATGAGCTAATATAAAGATAATATCTGTTATGAAAAGATATCTCTCTGTATTTAAAAGATAATCATGAAAAAAAAAACAGGAGTTGTGCCGTAAATTGAAAAGACACGCTTTTCTAAGTCATGTATTTTGTATTTTTTTTTATGACCGCCGTTGAACAGCCGACTCAATTTTTGGGTTTACGACTACTAATGTTCAACGCCGTAGCCTTATAATTTTGAACCAATCCAGAAGGCAAGGAAACTCCTGGATCAGTACCCCCAGAGGTATTGATTTGTTGTGGGAACATGGAGGACTTTGAGACTCGACAGATTTAACGTGCATCAGTCACCATTTACTACACGGGGAGTCTTCGGCCGGCGAGGATCGAACCCACGACCTCTTGGAT